TGCCCTCCTTCCCACCATTTCTTCGCAATCGTTCTGTGATCACGTGACATCGAGCTTTGATACGTGAACGGCGCGGTAAGGGAGAAGACTGCACTATTCCCTAGTTCCAGAACACTGTGTCTCAGTCTCGTTATTCAGTAGTTCGTCTTCACCATTAGCCCACCCTGATATGCCTGTCTTGTTGGGTATTTTTTTAATTTTGCACCACATGGGCGATCAACGCTACCAAGTATTTTCCAACTCCAGTGTTTACTGCCAGTACAAATACGGTCAGTGAAATTTATCTGTTACTTTCTTTGTTCAATGGCTGATCGAAACTGGGATCTGAAAAGGGAGGGAAATGTCAAAACACCCAGCCCAAGGCTTCTCAGGCTATGCTGCAGCATGTTTTCGGTTGAAAGCTAGTTGTATAGCTTTCGCCCTTGTCGCTTCCTCCCACCCAAAGGGGAGGATAATGCCTGAATTTTCTTTTCCTCTAATTCGGAGGTTCCTAGACGTTAATATGTGTATCGCTAGTGAAACGCGTGTTTGTCTAATTTAGGAGAGAAATTAAAGATCGCGCGCTGTCCGTGGTTTGATTTTTTGGGGGCATTTAACTGCTCCGTCTATTGCCGGATATTAACAGCAGAAACCGCGGAAAACTACCGATCAGAGCAGCCGGTCCGAGAATTCTTCTCCAGACAGTGGCTGATTTCGATCTAGCTATGTACTCGTACATAGTGTCGGAAATGAGCCACCGTGATGACTCGAACCTTCCGGTGAGAGAAGCTGTAACGGCAGCCGATGCCACTACGCCGTCTCATCCGACCTTGATGGTCCGCGCGAGGCCAGGCGCGGGGCGCACTCACTTGTAGAAGACGGCGCCGAGGTTGCCGGCGAATGAGCCCATGAGCGAGATGCGCCAGGCGCGCTGGCGGAGGTACTGGTAGTTGTCGGCGCGCAGCGTCCAGGGGTCGCGGAAGGCGCCCAGGCGCGACTGCAGCATGTGCAGCGTGGACGAGTGCGCGAAGTAGAAGACGCCCGCCGGCTGCTCGCCCTGCCCCGTGGCCAGCGCGCTGCAACACACGCACACACACACACACACACACACACATCAACTTTGCTGATACAGCTTTAGGGGTAGTGTTATATTTAAAATATATCTTCTTCGAGATCTTAATTTCTCTCGGGCTTTTAATCTGTCTGTTTCTCTCCTCTTTTTTCTCATTCTCACCCTCCTTCCTTTTTCCCTTTCTGTCTCCCTCGGTTCTCTCTTTCTGTCTCTCCATTTTATGTCTTTCCCCCCGCCTTTCTTTTCCTGTCTTTGTCACACTCACTCGCTCACTCACACTGTATCCGTTTTCCCATTTCTTTCACCCCTGTTCTTTACCTTTCGTTCTCGATCTGTCTTTTTCAATATTTTTCTTTGTCAATATTTTTTAAATTTTTTTTTTCTTTTTTAACTTTTTTCTTTTTCAATTTTTTTCTTTTTCTCGTTTCGTTCGATTTTGAAATGTAGGAAGTTCCTATTTATCTTTCGTATTTATCGGCACCGGTTGATCATTTATTCAAAATCTCTTTTTTTTCGAAGAAAGTTAAACTGATCGAATCGTTAAAAAATAAAAAGACGGCGAAAGTTTGAGTAGACATTTCGAACGTAACTCATAAGAAGAATTCACAATGTCACCGTTTAAATCCTTTTATTCATGACTTATCCAGGTCAATTTTTTTTAATGTCAGTGTTTTTCAAATGAAAACTTTGTTTGATTATTGTAGCGTCAGATATGATCTAAAACAAAAAGAAATGGAGATTGGAGAGTAAAAGTTTAAGTGTAAAGAGAGAAAATTTTATCAGTGCTTATGTTCGGTCGTGGTAGTTAACAGAGCTCTGAGAGTGCGTTGCAATTACTTACTTAAAACGTTCGTACAAGTCTTTTGCAAGAGGGCATCCCAACTTGACATTCATTTCGTCTCCGTAGCCAGACTTGTAGTAGTAGCGTAAATCTTCAGCATACTCCAACAACTATAAATCAGAAAAAAAGCATGAAAGGGTCATTCCGCCCAAAACACACACCTGTATTTCACACATTCATAACTATTTCATTATCATAATTAGAGCTAGAACGAGCTTTCTACGAATTAACCGCTGTATTGGACTAACATCTGCGAAACTATTTTGTGTTAGTGATAATTTTGGTGGTGCGATTAGTTACTAGTAAACTATTAAGATGCTGCACTAAATCATTGTCATTATAATAAGCATTTATACAGGAGCCCATACGTTATTCCGAAAATAATAACGTTGACCATTATAGTAACAGGTAAAAGTTTGGAGTGATCAGTTTCTCGTCGAAAATTTTCGTTTACGATGCGTCTAGACTTCTTTGTTATTTCCGGCTGTGCAACTCACGCACTCTTCCTTGCCATGTAGGGCGACTCGCGCTGCAGTTTCGCCGCGAGTGGGTGAGGGGTGAGCTCGACAGCGGCGAGCAGGGCGCGAGTGCGGCACCGTTTTGGAGCGTGCTTGGAGGCGCGTGGGTGGGGCTGCCACGCCCACACGTCTCGCTGCCGACCTCCTTTCTACCCCCCGAAGCCCAGCTGCAGCGCGTGTCACGGTGCAGCGCGGTCTGAATTGCGTGCTTTGAAGCAGCAAGGAAATTTAGTTTTCTCGTAAACGAAAATTATCGACAGTGAACTATTTGCACCAAACTTCCTCCAGTTATGATACCAGTCTACAAGATTCACATCAAACTTGGAATCAGAAATGGAATAACCATCATTGACATCAAAAATTGAATCGTTGAAGGCTAAAGGATACAAATAATTAAAATAAATTCTACGAGACATATGAATATTACAGCTAAATTCATAAAAATGTGTGATTAAATAAAAAGTATACATTTCATTGAAAAGTGAAAGAACATCTGAACAAATCCGAGGGATATATAATTCCAGTTATATCAATTTTATCTCAACCCCCTTGGGCTACACCTTGAAAAAAAAAATCTGTATAGTATTTGGCTCCCGCGAGCACGCTGCATGAGATAAGAATTCAAATCGTGTTGGTGACTTGCCTTCAGTTCATCCTTGTTGAAAGCAGCACACCAAGGCGAAGTCTTATGCACCTCCCAGGCCTCTTGAAATCGGCACATGTCGTATATAGTGTCGACATCAACTAATGACACAAAGAAAAATGATTTATCTCAGACACTGCTCTTCTGATTTACGCGGCGCTACAAACAGACTGGGACCTCGGCCTCTATCTCTCTCTTTCTCCTCGTACTCGACCTCTTGCTCGACTCATTCTAGACCTCGAGGGGTGGGCCACATGGGACCGGGAATCTGCTCTGAAAGATGGGAGTAATGGCAGGACGGGGAGGATCTATAGGGCGGCCCATGCCCCGTTGATAATGGACTTCGGAAGGAGGAAGTGAATTCCTCGTGCATACATACAGTAGTAAGGAGTGGTATTTTGCGTAGTCCGCGCAAGGTTTATCGAAAAAACGGATCTCTAAAGCAATTGTAAGACAGAGGGTATACGAAATATTTTCCATATGCTCTTTCTTTCAAACAACACCGTTTTTTGGTATTATTTCTCACATTCGTTTCAGTTAATGGTTTTTGTTTCAGCCGAACTACGAAGTATTCTTAATGTTTTTCTATAATAATTTCCCTAATAAGAATCCTGATTACACAACTAAATCTCAGTAAGCGCCCAAGGGTCAGAGCGCCTTAAAAACACCGCAGCGATTCGCTCACAAGTTCATACTGAGAGTTCCAAAGGCACGTTCCGCTAGGCACGGACAGAGGCCGTTGAACAGCCTTGATTCTCCGAAAGAATGAGTAGTGCTTGTTCACTTGTGAAAGGATTCGAATTGCTGCGGCCAGTTGAGTCCCTGAGAGGGTGCAGCGAACTGTCAATTCGATGTGCTAATACGAAAGCAATTTGTTTGCGATCTTCTCGTTGTTTTGTTATTTCTAGCCCGATTCATAGTTATCATTGTTTAAATATGCTTGTATATTGATAAGTGATTTCAATTTGTGTCTAAAATATTCAAAATGCAAAATTTGCATTATTTTGCTTGGTCATCGCCGCATATATCAATCTCCACAGCGATATATTTTTTTGTTCATCTACAACTTTCGCTAATGAAACCTATTGAAATTATTTCTTTCCATAAATGTTATAATCTCCCTGTGAACTCCCAGTGATTTAACGATATTCGCAATCTAAAGCAGCCGACCTGTGATGTAAAGCGTTTAGCATTTGTATTAATTGCTTCCTGAATTTTAAAAAAGTCACTATTTTTGCGAACCTGGATGGCCAAAGTGACTTAAGAGCGTGTACTCAGCTCTTCGGTCCGAAAGGTCGCGGATTCGAATAAAGCCTTGGGTTTGGTTGTTTCTTCCTTGTCTGTCATGTATGTGTTGACGCGTAGGACCTCGTGTTCTTCTGACCCCAGATCAGGGAAGCCCGCAGGTCTGTTGGTGTCCAATGTATGATCGAACATGCGTCCCATCGGGACGTAAAGGGTAAACCAGCTATCGCTTGGGAAAAACTCTAGGGGGAGGGGGTAGTGACTATTTTTTTGGCCGTGAGCTGTTTTTCGTGCGCCGAGGGACGAGATGAGTCGGGGTGGAAGCGGAGGTCCCTGAAAGGCGAACGGCAGCGCGCGGCCGCGGGCCGGATGCGCTCCCAGGTGGGAGGGGCGTGGGAGGGCGCCGCCGGAAGTTATGATGCGCTGGCGCGGCGCGGCCCTGCTTCGGTTACGTCACGCCGCGGGGCTGTTGCCAGGCGATGGTCACCGCCCCCCCTCTCCCCTGCCCTCCCGGGAGCTCTCGTCTACTGTAATTTAATTAAATTTTGGCAACACACTAACCGTCTGTGGATCGCAGCACTTCCAAATAAGTCATTCCCATTATGAAAATCATGAACTTTTTTTTGTTTACATTTTATTCAGCTTCTAATTGAGTCCGGTGAGGTCGAGACCCACATAGCACAAGTATCCAAACTTATATTCTTAAAATGTCTTCAAAAGATCAAATTTGATGTTGTGCACACGTATTCGTGGAACCTCAGTACTAGTGTAGTAGCAAGAGGCTAAAAGAAGTCCTAAAAGCAATAAAGGTCCTAAGTAAAGATCATGATAGGAGTAATCGGTTAATTCGCACATTAGGCGGATGGTTTGAACAAAGCTGTTCGCGCGTGGGTGAACAAAGGTGTGTCGCGAGAAATGTGAGACATGCGAAAAATCAAAACGTACTAACCCCACACATTTGACAAGTTCCTTTCTCGCATCTTCATAGGAGAAAATTTCTCGTTTGGTTAGCGAATGAGTTTGCTCGAACACTTTACTACTCCGTTTGTTTTCCTAACTGCCGGCGCGCGCTGCTGGGGTGTGATAGAACTCAGGATATTGAGCAGAGAAATGTGTTAAGTAACCGGTTTTTTAAGTTTCACTTAATTTATTTTCTTTAAATCGAAGCGAATGTGAAAAAAACGTGTGTGAGTAATTACATTGTATGAAACAATAATGAATAAGAGTAAAATTTTGGCGTGTGGCTAGAAAATTATTTCGCGACCTGGAATGGCGTATTTCTCGGGTGCTTTCGCAGCAGCGCGTACCTCTCTCGGTGTAGTCCGTTGTGGGCCTCACGAGCGCGCTGATCCTCCATCTGTCAAGATCTCGAAATATTTCCATCATAAAGCAAGTACATCAAGTTCAGGTCGAAGCCTGAGCAGGAGAGAGAGAGAGAGAGAGAGGTGCATCCATTTTATTCCCATGCAATGTTCAAAACAAAGCGACAAATCTCAAAAATTGTCTTTTTGCAACAAGGTTTTATGCCGAGCAGGTGTTTTTTTTTAGTCTGTGAAAAGGCGCTGCGGTCTTGCGAACTACATTAATGAAATTTGAAATTGTCCGTTTGTCTAAGACCATGTCTTCACGAAACTCAAAAACAACGAGTTTTGAGATACCTCACAATACTTGAGAAGCAACAAGAACCTTCGCTTCAGGGTCCCGTGAGCTACTCCCGCGGAGCTACTCACCGAACTTGAGGTCGCTGCGGAAGCCGAGTCGGCTGCTCACGTTGGCGATGAGGCTCTGCATGAGGCTGCCGTCCACCAGCTTGCGCCATTCGGGGGGATCCGACTTGTCCCCCTCCAGCCACAACTTGCACTCCGTGTAGGGCTGAGAACAAGGACAGGCGCTGCTTGGTATCCACTCGCATTCAGAATAGTAAAAAGATCAGATGGATAAATGACGGCGGAATTATCTCTTTCAGTGCAGACGAAAAATAAAATAGCACAAAAATAATTATAGATGATGAATACATTCAACAATTGCATTGTATGAAATTTTAGTGAAAAGGCGCGGCCTACCGGAGCGTTTCCTCCTCTTAGTGTCATGAAATGCATAATTTCGGTATTGTAGTGAGTACTAAACGTGCTGATGGAAACTTGATGTGAATTCTTCACTTGACCAAAAAGGAGACTGAATAAATTGCCTTCTCGCGTACTTCCAGATGAACAGAAGAGATGCCAACTCATTAAGATTGTTTAGAATACTAACAACAGTATATATTACTTCATGTTCCATTTACATTTATATATTTACTTCATATTACTTCTTTACTTATATATTTACTTAATGTTCCATTCACCTGAGTAGAAACACCACGGTAGTTTGCACGAACCTCGATGAACCTTAAATATTAAAGAAAATAATGGTTTGTTTTCACCTCGGAGGTTATATACTCTGTCTGAGGTAGAACGCTGTCGTAGTTTTGTTCAGTTGTCCCAGCATGCGTAATCCAAGTTTATCAGTTTTTATTAAAAAAAAAGACCCCGCTGTTCCAATTTATTAATCAATATGATACGAGAGACTTTTATCTAACGCTCTTTCAAAGTCTGAATATGTGAGTGATGTCAAGTGCGCCACCTACGACTCAGACTGAGGTCCAATTGCCCACACGTTCACGCCCACACTTGGTAATTATCGTTTCTTAGGAACGAATGCACTGGTAAAGTGGGATTGTGTATTGTATTAGCGGAACTCCCTGATTTTTCCTTTACATTTACAAATGTATGAAATAAAGATTAGTCTTCAATGCATACTGTACAAATGTACTCGGCAACATTTAAATATCTAAAATTATAGGATATATTGCATTGAGACAGAATGTTGGAGGCCTAAGACAGTTCCGAAAAATATTGGAACTTTGCAATTTTCAAAAGTCCATAATTTTTATTGAAAACCAAAACTATACTATATTTGAATAGACGACTCTATTGATACGAGTATACTCTAATTTTGTTTAATTTCTTCTTTTCGATCACAAAAAATCAAAGAAATTTGCAGTAATTTTCCAGAAAATTTTGAATATGCCACAAGGACTTCTTTTGAAGTACTCCCAAAAATTAAAACCTCATACCTTAATGATTTCGGGAACGACACAACACTACCTTACTCCTAACATGTTTTTAACTGTCGATAACCGAAATTCCTTGCTTCCTTTCAATTAAAAAAAAAATCACACGTGCTTCAAAAAAAGTATTATTGGTAAGATTGAGAGTTTTTAAATAGTAATTCTTTTCTAAATAAAAATAACTCAATACAGCTCGAACGTTTTTCCTTACATTTACGTAAATAATTTACAATAATAATATTAATATTTATGTTATAAATTAATTAAATATTCGGAAAAGTATAATAAAAATGCTGTACCTTCGAGGTAAGGTACTAACTCGATTTTAAGTGATTTTGAGATTTGGCATCAAAATAAATGCAAGAAAGAAATATCTTTCGACGTATAAAGAAGTATTCCCCAATGTTATTAGGGCCTATTTAACTTTGTAAATAGACAATTTTACTTTCCTCCTATGAAGTAAGGAAATAGTGAATTACGACCCTTGACCTTTGAGGTGCATGATCAAAAAACAAGTGAAAACCTAAACGAGGAAACGAAGATGTTTCAAGTCTGAAAATAACATGATAAAGTTCGAATAATTGAATTTGAAGACAGCGTAGTTTGAGATCCTCGTTAAATACATTCTAGGAATAATGCAAGTACATTCGAGGTTGAGAAAATCTATTTTCATGAAAGCATTAGGGGAAATATGATACTGCGCGGCTTTTGTAAACACGTTGCGCTCAATGGACAGGATATGAAGAAATTGGACACCAATTTCAAGTCAGGTTACCACTGTTGTTTAAAGAGAGCCAGTAAAAAAAAGCTCATCAAAACGAATAGTATTTTGATATCAGTGGAAAGAAAATGGCACCATAACAGTTCATCGGCTGTACAAAACAGAAAAAGGAGATATCGAAGTTTTTCGCACACAGTACACGTGTTATAATTGCATTTTAGGAAGGTGCGCACGAAAGATAATGCGCACAATTGTCTTATTTAGAAATTATTTTTAAAAGTTCAGGAAACAATGTTATTTTAACGGTACCGCACAACAATTCATTTTAATACAATCTTCCGAATATCGGAGTTTGATACCAATTTACCAGTAATAGATTTTTTTCTTCTCGCAGCCACATAATATAAATAGCGTTTTACGTGCTTAATCCTCCCCAATCCCTCCCCCAAACGAATTTTTTTGAGGTATCACTTAGAATGTTCTAGAAGGATCTGAAAAAAGTGATTAGTTGCCGACCAGTAAGCCAAGATGCGTTGAATGACTCATCACATGTTCCAAATAGTGGAACGGAAGGGATTTTAAATCATTACCCAATTGCTCTATAGCATACGATGGCATCGTGATTTGAAAATGGTATGCCACCACTTGTGACTTTTCAGAAGCGGCAATGAAAAGTCCAAAAAATTCTGTACATGAGATGATCAACGTAAAAAGCTTATTTATTGCATTGCAATACAGTGTATGCATCTACTCCACACGGCCAGTTGCTTCCCAACCTCTAGCAGAAAAAAGGGAAATGTCACGATTTTGCTTGTTGAGTGCCTTCTATTGTCTAATCCCAAACGCCTCGTGTGTACGCGTTTCCTTTCGCGGAGGAGGGCTGGAGGAGGACGGAAAGGGGTCGGAAAGGGGGCGGAAAGGGGGCGGAAAGAGGGCCGGATGAGGGCCGGAAAGAGGGCCGGATGAGAGCCGGATGAGAGCCGGAAAGAGGGCCTGCGGGCGTTACCTGCAGCAGCAGGTCCTTCTTCCCGGCCGGCGGGATGTTGACGACGTCAGCGTCCGTGAAGAGCCCCCTCGCGAACTGGCGCGCGCTCTCCTGCGTGCGCTGCGAGTCCGTGTGCCGGAACTGCACGGTAAAAACACGTGACATACCGCCCTACGCGAGTAGTCTCCTTTAATTTGTGTGGGGGAGCTCCATAGCAAAAATGAGTACTGTAGGTTAAATGAGCTTTAGCGAATTTGAGGAGAACAACGTATATAAGAGAACAATCTCTTTCTCATATGCGGAGCTGACTCACAGATTTTGGCGTGAAGCGATAGGGAACACATTAAAATTATGATTAACATAAGCTAACCCGACCTGTCTGACTTTGGTACGTTAGCAAATCAGATTCCCTGCATGTCCAAGAGTAGATTTTCATGACTCGCCTTGTATCTGGAGGAGGTGTAGGGCAGCTTCAGCACCTCCGGGAAGCGGTCGCGAAGGCGCTTCGCCGTCAGGTACAGCTCCAGTTCGCCCGCGGGTGTCAGCACGTTCTCCTGCCCCTCGCTCACCGTCAGCTTCCACTGCTGCAGAGCCTCCAGGTCCGCGTCGCACAACCGACCCCCTATAAGCAGGGCAAGGCCGCTCAGTGGTGTACGATCGCCCCATCCGCTCGCCCCGCCTCGATCCACCTCGGTCACCCAGGAGCGGGCGTTCTTACACACGCTCGTCCATGCGGTTGCTAATGCACTCGCCTTCGCCCACGCGCTCGCCGCCCACGCGCTCGCCGCCAACGCGCTCGCCGCCCACGCGCTCGCCCCCCACGCGCTCGTCCCCCACGTGCTCGCCGCCCACGTGCTCGCCACCCACGCGCTCATACGTACAATGCGCATGTGTCAAGTGTCGATACAGCATGCTCCTGTTCTAAGCACACTACAGGGTCTCTCCTAAGAACACGCTGCGAAGCGAGGCAGCGCCCGGGCGTATCTACCCTAAGAGGTGCAAGCGGGCTTAAAATGACAACTTCCTTTGGGAAGAAAGCCACGCTACACCGCTGATAACGATAGATGGTTGCATTCCACTAATAGTTTGAGTTATTTTCGAAATTTGTGCTGATGTGAAAATAGACCATGAACTCACAGCGTTCTTGATGATTGGTGAGAATGGAGTCTCGTAGGCCTGGCAGCTTCTCCGCCATACTTTTGATGGTGGATTTGCCTGGATACCGCGTGCCGTGCCTGTTCAGCCACCACACCTGCAGCGGCGTGCAATCTGCGAACAGAGAACACAGAGCTCGCGGATCGTTGAAGGAAATAATTTCCACTGGATTTTGGTTATTGGACGTTCGAAAAATCTCACTTTAGCGGTAGTTCATGATTTCAAGTTAATTATTTTGTTTTCATGAATATATGTTTGAGTGTTACAAATTCTTGATTTTTACATGAAGGTTTAAAGTTAATTCTCATATTTATACTTGTGTATGTAATTTCATATTGGAAAGGTTTGAAATATTGAAGAATGAAATATTGAAGAGTTTTGTTTTGTGGTTCTAGTTCATTTATCTCGCAAAAATAAAAATACATTGTGGGAGAATTTGTCAGAAATTTCTGCATTACTGTACCGTTACTATTAAACTAATTATTATGAACGCGCATTAAATTGAATGCACGCAAGAAGAACACTAAGATGCAAGAGTCGTATCTGGAATTAATTTAATGATCTTACTGAACTGATGGTAATGATATGAGTGATAACGAGGCAGAGAAAACGGGAGAACCGCTGCCTTAACTGTTTATTTATTTTAATTTTTGCATTAAAGATCTCAATTTAATGTAGTGCAAAAAGTATGAAGCTCCTTTTAATGTACAAAGTACGTTATCTTTCATACATTAATTGAACATTAATGTACCGTAAATTTAATTACATTTCTGACGGTGTATGTTTATCAATAAGAAATATAACTTATTCCATTTCAAAACGAAGAAAACTTTAAAAAGAAGAAAAAGAGCTTGCTTCTCGCTATGGGATTCCATTCTCATTTGTAATTGAATCCGAGATGTGAGGAAATTATTTTTTCGTGCTTGAAAGTACCTTATTTTTTCCTTTTTTGATGTGGATATTGAAGATAGGAGGGAGTCCTGTCTAGCATAACGCCATTACTTCGAATTTTAAATGATTTTTGAATATTTTTGCTTACGTGGTAGAATTTCTGCTCCGCGTCGACTGTCCCGCACGAACTCGTAAGCCGTCTTCGATGCGAATAAGATGTACTTTTCAGACTCGTTTTGATAGCAGTAGTCAGTGTCCCTGGCGAGCGCGCCCGCCAGCAGCGCTAGCGTCGCCGCCAGAGCCAGCAGCGTCGCGGTGGTGGTCCGCGAGGTGTCCATGGATGGATGATGGAGAGCACTTTGCAGTGAGGCGTTTGCGACCCTGCAACAGAAGTGGATTGAGTGATTCCGGGCGCGTCGACTGGTCATTAGAACCGTTAGAGTAGGATTTTTGCTTTATTCCGAGAGATGGTGTTCCTTTCTCTCTGAATGGCGAGATCCGGCCCCGATCTACACGGTGACGAACGGGGAATTCCCCCTCCACGTATTTCCCTCTGCAGATCACCCTCCGAACTCGCGACTCGCCTCCCGACATGTTTTATAGTGTAGTTAATATAAGTGCGTGTGTAGGGAGTGAGGATAGTACAAGGAAGAGGAAGGAAAGATCGCGTGCGGTCCGTGGCCCATTGGTTAAGTTACCGCTCCGGCTTACGTCTGGTGTTGATTGGAGAAACCACTGAAAACCACCCATTAGAGCAACCAGCTATTAGGATTCTTCTCCAGATAGTGACTGAATTCGACCTGCAATATAGCTTACGACAAAAATCAGCCACGGTCGGGAATCGAAGCCTTTTACCACCCGGTCAGAATTGATGCGCACACGATGATAATGCTGGCTCTGCGCTAACTCAGTAACAAAGATGTAGTTGAATCAAACACATTTCCCCACGAACGGGAGTGGGGCCTCAGTCACACATGTGGAAGTCTTGGAGAAGATTTTGACCGTGTGCCAGGGGGCCCAGTTCTCGATGTGACGTACATCGTTAGCGCAGTGAGGAATCTGGTTCGGAGCATCCGTGAGTGGACCATCCTGGGTGACACATTGGGGCTCGTCGCGTCTCCCCTCTGAGAGGAAACGGACGAGGGTTGCGCTCCGACGCATGCGAGTGGCGTATGGCTCCAGTAACAGGCTGAAACGCTGGTAATGTTCGAGATAAAGAAGTGGCCCCGCCCTGGTTGTAAGTAGAAGCTTTCAATCTCCTTTTGCGTTTCCAAATGTTTTTACCACATGGTTCGCTTCGTGCACTCGCAGGAGGATGATAAGCAACTGGTCCCCTTCCTTGTCCTATCCTTACCCCTATCTTACACACTCTCACTCGCATGCACCACACTACCTCACTTGTCGGGGGAGTAGTTGGGAGCGTGGCTGAGGCTGAGGCGGTGCTGTTGGGAGATACTTGGTTGGGGAAACCCCACAAGTCGACGCTAGGTGGAATCACTATCGATCAAACAATCGAAGCGGGATGAAACTTGCTTCTAAGAAATGCTGGTGTCTGTTTTTGAGGCTTGTAAACCCTCCGCTACTTATAGCAGTGAGGCACATTGCTGGCTCAAAAATAGTACAAGGTAGTACATATTGGCCAAAAAAGAAAGCTAACAATATTCAGACGAATCTCGCCAAGTTGAGGAGGAAAGAAAGGGCTGATACTTTCGAACTGTAGGAGATTGAATGAACATCCCTTTCAGACGAGGAAGAAACGATGAAATTTAAATAAGATTGTCATTGCAGTCATGAGACATGTCGGCAGACCATTGATTCAAGTTTCCGAGCACGACAACTACTCTCGTCATTAGTCTCGTTAATGCAGTGAATACTTTATCGCGAGGTGGGGGTCGCTCTCTCGCTGCGTGCTGTGATCTGGCGCCGACTGCAGCTCGAATTATGGGGGATGCCCACTTCCTTCTATCTCCGTCAGCAGGACACGGCCATAGCGCGTTCTAAACTCCCGACATGTGTGGTAATGTAGTGCATATAAGTGTGGATGTGTGTAAGGGAGGAAAGGAAAAGGAAGAAGAAGGAAAGATCGTGCGCGTTCCGTGGCCCACTTGTTATACTCCGACATTCACCTGGTGTCCTTATTGATCTCGGAAAAGAAAAAAAAAACTACCGATCACAGCAGCCGGCCGCTACAGTTCTCCAGACAGCGGTTGAATTCGACCTGCTATAGTCAGTGTCAAAAATTCAGCCATCGTCAACACTTGCTCTCTAGGCTCTCTTGACTCGGTCTGAGCGTGCTGCGGGGACAGCGGCAATGCTGTCTCTGAGCTAGCTCAGCCGGTATATGAATACGAACTTTTTATTTTCTTGTAGCGTTTCTTAGATTCCTAATTTAACTGTGCAGAATAAAATACATGGCGATATGACCTTGCGATTAATATCTTTGGTAATTACCCGCTGGGTAGACCACTCTGTTTGCGCGGAAAAGCCCTCTGCGCTGCGATAAGCGTCCGGTCGATAATTATCTCCCATCTCGCGTCCCCGAATCAATTGCCTTTGTGTTAGAATTTAGGCTGCGTGGCTGATAGACGATGTAGCTCTACGCTTACCTGCAAAGTAATGTCGAATGGGATTTGAATTTTCAGTGCGACAGTGTACTCTTCCTTGATTTCTGTAAATATAAATTTTGTTTATTATCATTCTTGCAAACACAAAATTTCATCTTTAGAAACTTGCTATTGTCGAAAATGTCCTTCAAATATAGGAGAAATTGGCGAATCACTAAATTTTTAAACAGAATAGTTTGCCTCAAAATGAAGCGAATTTGTCATTTTTCACGACAGATTATCGTCTAGAAATTCAGGATACGCTGTAGAATGTCTATGTATATATTCTGGAGCTGTCAACATCCCTTTAGGCCGGCGCTTCGGTAACAGATCTACGAGTTGCGTATTAACACACTCATAAACTGACGAATTTAACTCGACCGAGGCAGATGGTGAAACGATGATGCCTAGCATATAGACTTAGCTGAGGCACGCAGCCGTTTGTGCTATAAACAGTTCGAAATAATTAAAACAAAGTTTGAGCTACCGGTTAACCTGTATATCCGAGAGATACGC